CGGCTGCCCAGAAATGTAAAGGACAAAGGCTTGGGGTCATGCTGCCCTGAATATTAAAAGAAAAGTGAGTGGCGCAGTGGCTCATGCCTGTAATCCCAGCACTTTGGGAGGCCGAGGCGGGCGGATCACCTGAGCTCGGGAGTTCAAGACCAGCCAGACCAACACGGAAAAACCCCGTCTCTACTAAAAATACAAAATTAGCCGGGTGTGGTAGCGCACGCCTGTCATCCCAGCTACTAGGGAGGCTGAGGTAAGAGAATCGTTTGAACCTCGGGGGCAGAGGTTGCAGTGAGTCAAGATCACGCCATTGCACTCCAGCCTGGGCAACAAGAGCAAAACTCCGTCTCAAAAAAAAAAAAAAGAAAAAAAGAAAGAAAGAAAAGTGACTTTGTCTTACACCCTGGCTGCCCCTAGTAAATGATGTGGAATATGGAAAAATCCTGGCCTGTGTATCTTTGCTTTTATTTATCTCTGATTATTTCCTTATATTAGCCAAGCTATGCTAAGTACTGGAACAGTAACTCTCCAGCCTCAAGAGAAGGTCATTTTTCACACATACAGTAGTTCAGTAGGTATTGGGGGCAACCTTGGGGGCACAGACCCACGAAGGGGAGCACAAGGTTTCCATTGCCTGGGTCTGGCATTTATGTCACTTCTGACCACATTCTATTGGCCAGAACTCGATCACATGGCCATAGCTAACTGCAAAGGACACTGGGAAATATAGTCTGACTATGTGGAAATAAAAATAAATGTGGCAAATAATGAGCTACAAGGTTTCTTCCTAGAAGTGAAAGTAAAAGCCCAAAAGGAGTGTGTTAGTTTGTAACCCGGCACGGTGGCTCATGCCTATAATCCCAGCACTTTGGGAGGCCCAGGCGAGACGATCACCTGAGGTTAGGAGTTCAAGACCAGCCTGGCCAACATGGTGAAACCCCATCTCTACCAAAAATACAACAATTGGTCAGGCATGGTGGTGGCAGCCTGTAGTCCCAGCTACTGGGAGGCTGAGGCAGAAGAATCCCTTGAACCCGGGAGGCAGAGGTTACAGTGAACCAAGATCGTGCCACTGTACTCCAGCCTGGGCAAAAGTGCAAGACTCCGTCTCAAAAAACATAAAAATAAAAATAAAGAGTGTCTTAGTTTGCTAGGGCTGCGGTAACAAAGTACCACAAACTGGGTGGCTTAAAGCAACAGGCGTATTGCTCTACGGTTCTGGAGGCCAGAATTCCAACATCAAGGTGTCAGCATGGTTCTGCTGCCTCCAGGCTCCTGGGAAGAATCTGTTCGTGCCCCTCCCTCAGCTTCAAGGTGTCCTTAGCAACCTCCGACATGCCTCATCATGTGGCTGCGTCCCTCCAACCTCTGGCTCCATCCTAACAGGGCCTTCGATCTCCCTGTGTGTCTCTCCTCTCATAAAGACAGCAGACAGCTGGGTGCAGCGGCTCACACCTGTAATCCTAGCACTTTGGGAGGCCGAGGCAAGTGGATCACTTGAGGTCAGGAGTTCGAGACCAACCTGGCCAATGGGGTGAAACCCTGTCTCTACTTAAAAAAAAAAAAAAAAAAAATTAGCCGGGCGTGCACCTGTAATCCCAGCTACTTGGGAGGCTGAGGCAGGAGAATCGCTTGAACCCAGGAGGTGGAGGTTGCAGTGAGCTGAGGTCACCCCACTGCCCTCCAGCCTGGGTGACAGAGCAAGACTCTGTCTCAGAAAAAATAATAATAATAATAAAGACAGCACACATACCATCTTAACTTTAATTACATCTGCAAAGACCCTATTTCCAAATAAAGTCAAATTCACAGGCACCAGGGTTAGGACTTGGAACTCTATTTCTGGGGGACACAATTCAACTCAGAGCAAATCAAGGCAGGGAACTTTTTTTTGAAACAGAGACTCACTCTGTTGCCCAGGCTGGAGTGTAGTGGCGCAATCATGGCTCACTGCAGCCTCTGCCTCCCAGGCTCAAGGGATCCTCCCACCTCAGCCTCCTGAGCATCTGGGACTGCAGGCATGCACCCCCACATCCAGCAAATATTTTTTGTATTTTTTGTAGGGACAGGGTTTCGCCATGTTGCCCAGGCTGGGCTCAAATGATCCTGCCACCATGGCCTTCCAAAGTGCTGGGATTACAGGCGTGAGCCACCACACCTGGCTGTGAACTTTTTACAGATTCCTAAGACACTCCCCCATTCCTTCCGAAAAGATCATTCCAATTTGCAAACGAACCAGCCTGAGGGCACTATGTCATCCCACCTTCCCCAAACCGAGTGCTGTGTTTTGGTTTTCTTCCTTAGCCTTATTTATTTTTTATTTTACTCTATATTTTATTTTATTGAGTCAAGGCCTCACTCTGTAACCCAGACTGCAGTGCAGTGGCGTGATCGCGGCTCACTGCAACTTTCAACTCCTGAGCTGAAGCAATCCTCCCTCCTCGGCCTCCCACAGTGCTGAGATTCCAGGCCTGAACCACCACACCCAGCCTTCCTTAGCTTTATTATCTTGATTTTTGCAAATCTGGTAAGTGAGCAGTGGTATCTAATTTTTGACTAGAAAGTTTAAAAAGTGCTTGGGAATCACGTCGCTGGTTACAGCTGAAGGGTGGTGCCCAGGCAGGACGAAGTGTTTGTCGGGCCGTGAGTGGCCGTCGCAGGATGCAACCCAAGCAGGGAGTCAGGAACATTTCACTAGCTGTAGTTAGATGCCTGGGTCCTAGCTCTCTGCTGGCAGAAGACAAATATCAGAAGGCAAAGAGGACAGAATATTCCATTTGTCCATCTAAAATGAATGTTTCTAGCAAGGAGGCCTGGATGGCCCTCTGCAGACAGCCCAGCTGCTGCGGTGCGTCTTGTCTGGTTTGTTTGCCACAGCAGCAGCTTCCGTCTGATGGCTGCAGAGGAGGAAGGTGGCGGCTGACGCTCAGAATGAGCCATCCCCAGTGCAGCTCCACGAGGCTGGCGGAGTGGGGGGGATACGGGGGGGGGCTGTCGCTCACAGAACACTCTGTACTCATCCAGGAGCCCCCACACCCGGGAAGGCGGCCACCTTATGATATGTGATCTGTTCCAGGCAGAGTCTCTGTCAGCCAGGGAAACATTTGTAAACATAATTTGTGTTCTCCATTTTTGTCATAGTTTTGGTCCTTATTTCCCCCCCATAACTCACTATTTTCCTCCCATATTTTTCCTTCTGGAGGTTTTAATCAGAGGGACAAGTCCAGAGTGTCCTGGAAAGTCTGGAAGGTGCTTGCCTTTCCTCGGAATGTGCTCTCTCGTGGCAGCAAACGTCGGCAGGGAGTGCAGCCTGCAATTTACAAGTTTATGTTTACGATCCTTATTTTTATTACCTTTGAGTGAAAGTGATTGCTATGGTTATCTCCTTCTCTGATATATATATATATTCCTTTCATTTATTTTGAGGATGGTTTGAATTTTTATGCATCTTCCATCCCATGCTCCCAAAAGAAGTGGGAAGAGCAGCGGGGAGGATCGGGGACCCCCTCCTCTTCCCGCCTCACAGCAGACGGCATCTCTCAGAGCATCCCCCAGTCAAGGGACAGTCTCCCTCCTCTGCTCCCGGGGAGTGAGTGAATAATCCCCTCCATCTCCACACTCCCAAGTAAGCCTGAGGGGCTTTCCGGGGGGCTTCGGAGAACCCCACCTATAACCCAATCAGGGAGGTTGGTAGAATGAAACAGTAAAGGAAGAAAAAAAGCATGTACCTGCCAAGCTGCTTTCCACTGGGTTAAAGGCCTCTGTGATGGCATCATTGACCTAAAATCATCCAACATTGACACTGTCTCCAAGGTGACAGGCCCTGAATCTTGGGCCCGAGTGTCCTGCTCAGAGGGTCACCTGTGACTCCCTCCTCTCTCGGGCCTTCCAATACAGCCACAGCTACCCGTATAATAGCCCCCAAGTGCTTGGTTAGGTCTCAGTAGTGACGGGGTGCATCTGGAAGACCGATGTCTCAGGAGCTGATTCACTTCTCGAAGAACCGAGTTGGACCTTACCACCACTCATTTTGGCCCTGACACCGTCCTGGCTTTGGGCCTGCAGAGCAGACTGGTCGAGCCATTCCTACTGCAGGGCAACTGGAGTGGGGCCTGTAGAGTGAATCTGAGCCGGATGCCGGCAAAGTTCAACACACTCAAGCTCTGTACCCTCAGGCAAGTCACCAGCCTTTCTCTCTGCACCTCAGTTTTCTCATCTGTAGAATGGGGAAAAGATTACCCGTATATTGATTTGTTGTTGTTGTTGTTGTTGTTTGAGATGGAGTCTCACTCTGTTGCTCAGGCTGGAGTGCAATGGTGTGATCTTGGCTCATTGCAACCTCTACCTCCCAGGTTCGAGCGATTCTCCTGCTGCTGTGATTACAGGTTCCCACCACCATGCCTAGCTATTTTTTTCTTTTGTATTTTTAGTAGAGATGGGGTTTTACCATGTTGGTCAGGCTGGTCTCGAATTCCTGACCTCAAGTGATCCGTCCACCTCGGTCTCCCAAAGTGCTGGGATTATAGGTGTGAGCCGCTGTGTCCGGACAATTTGTGAGGATGTGATGATGGAGTAGATAGTGGGAACTTTGCAAAGGGGGTCTCTTAAAGCTTAAATCTGAGGAGGAACTCCCAGGGCTCAAAAACGTCCAATGACCCCGTCTCATGCAGGATGATTCCAGAGTGTTTAACATCACCCCCAAACCCTACAGGATCTGACCCTGTTACTGCCCTGACCCCGCTGAATTCCAGGCGTGCTGACCTGTGCTCTCCCTGGGCCACCCCAAGCCCCGCGCTTGCCGTTCCCACCGCCAGCAACACATGCTTGTTCCTTCACCTCCTTGAGGTCTCTAATGTCATCACTCAGAGAAGATTTCCATGGCTGCCCCCAAAATAGCCCCCTCAGCCTCTCTCTACACCCTCCTCCTGTGTGATCTCTCTTCACTGCACCACCACTGCCCACCATAGTCCAGCCATTGTTTATCGTCTGCTTCTCCTCCGCAGGAGAGGCCGGTGAGAGCGAGGTCTGCCTGGGTCTGCTATGGTGCTGGTGCCCATCAGAATCAATGCTTGGGGATGAATCGGTGAAGGGGAATGAATTTGTTGGATGAATCAGTGAAGGGGAATCCTGTGGCTGACACACTGAGAGGATCTCCACAAAGTGGAGAAGCCTCTAGAGAAGGCTGAGCCCAAGCATTTGGGAGGCACATGTCCCTCACACAGGATCAAGGGACCACAAGCCAGACATGGCCTCTGTCCTGAAGGAAGAAGGATGATGGGCCATCAACTACCGTGCACTGCAATAGGGCTGGGAGCCCAGGATGGGGCACTCCACCCAAATGAGGTGGTTGGGAAGGCTTTGTGGGGAGCAACATTTTTCCTCCATTATCTGCATTCTAGAAAGAAGGCACCATTTGCACGGAGCCCTGAGGTGGGAAAGAGAGGCCCCTGGAGGATGCAGAAGCGCAGGTGACTCTGCCTGGCAGGGGGCAGGGGCTGAGGTGCAGTCAGAGAGTCAATGGGCCAAGCAGGTGCAACACCACCAGGTCCCGGGGAGCTTCCCGGCCACTTCTCTGGTGCATGGCGATGAGACTGGGCCTGCCAGGGGCAAGGAGACCTCAGGGTTGGCTCCAACTCAGAGCAGAGGAAAGACAGAGGCAGTGCGCCACCATCTTCTTCGCCCCCATCCGCACCTTCCAACAGTTGCCAACAGCAGCCTGGGAGTCTGCAGAGGTAATCCAGGTAAATTGTAATGGTGGCCCAAACCCGGGCATGGGGGAGGGATCTGGAACTATTTGGGAAACAGATGATAAGGGTTCAGAGGCTGACTGGCTGGGAACGGGGAAGGGGGAAACTGGAGAGCAGTCCTGTATTCCTGGTGAGCTGGAGCCAGGCTCTGGGGGAACTCCCACCCCTGCCTCTCTGCGCTCCCAGACATGCACAGACGCTGCTGTTGGGTTCGGGAATGGGGGGAGATAAAGCTGATGGAGGTGTGAGGCCAGATGACAAAATGTGGCTGAGCTTGACGGGATGGTTCATTAAGACGGCAGCTTGGGTGTGTCTGAGGAAGCACCCCGCACAGACACCGGCTCTCCTCTGGCAGAGGGACTTCAAGGCGGATGATATAAAACCAAGCAGGCCAACGGGAAGAGATGAGGACCTTCCCTGAGGACCACCTGCATCTCAAGCTTGTGGGAAACTGCTTGGAGAAATAGGGCTGCGCAAATGTATTTGCCAGTTACTGTCTAGTTATTGGCCACTGGGACAATAATGTCCCAGGGTGAGCTGGGACTGGAGTGCCTGTGGGTACGAGTGGGGCAGGGTGGGGGGCTTTGGGCAATTGCTGTTGGGTGTTTTGATGGTTGAGTGACATGCATGTGAGATGGCCATGTTGACACCTGCACAGTCATGGTTACTTACGCAGCCAGCACCACTGCTGCGGTTTGAATGATGGTGTCTCCTCAAAATTTGTTTTTTGTTTTTTTTTTTGAGACAGAATCTTGCTCTGTCGCCCAGGCTGGAGTGCAGTGGTGTGATGTCCGCTCACTGCAAGCTCCGCCCCCTGGGTTCATGCCATTCTCCTGCCTCAGCCTCCCAGGTAGCTGGGACTACAGGCGCCTGCCACCACGCCTGGCTAATTTTTTTGTATTTTTAGTAGAGACGGGTTTCACCATGTTAGCCAGGATGGTCTCGATCTCCTGACCTAGTGATCCGCCCGCCTCGGCCTCCCAAAGTGCTGGGATTACAGGCGTGAGCCACCGTGCCTGGCCAGAAATTTGTATGTTGACGTTTACTCACCAATGTAATGGAATTAAGAGGTGACGCTGTAAGAGGTGATGAGGTCACGAGGGTGAAGCCTTCACGGATGGAATTAGGGTCCCTATCAAAGGGCCAGAGGGTGTGGGTCCACCATATGAGGCCTCAGCATTTGCCCCCTTCCAAAGATGTAGCCACATGGGCCTTTGCCAGGGAGGCTGGGAGTCTGAAATCCAGGGCTGAGGAGCTTCACTGTCTGGAGAGGGTCCAGCCTTGCTTCTAAGATGGCACTCGGAGCACTGCCTCCTCCTGGTGGGGGGGACGCTGTGTCCTCGTGTGGCAGAGGGCAGAAAGGCAAGAGGGAAAAACTTCCTTCACCAAAGCTCTTTTATTAGTAGTAGTATTTTTGTGGTAGGGTCTCCTTCTGTTGCCCAGGCTGGAGTGCAACGGTGCAATCACAGCTCACCGCTGCCTCGACCTCCTGGACTCAAGTGATCCTTCCGCCTCAGCCTCCCAAATAGCTGGGGCTACAGGCATGTGACTCCACGCCCAGCTATTTTTTTTAGAGACACGGTCTCACTATGTTGCCCACGCTGGTCTTGAACTCCTGGGCTCAAGTGATCCACCCACCTCGGCCTCCCATAGTACTGGATTACAGGCATGAGCCACTGTGTCCAGCCTCAAAGCCCTTTTATAAGGGCACTAATCCCTTTATGGAGGGAGTCGCTCTTGACCTAATCACCTCTTAAGGCGATTAAGACACATGGACGTGAAGTTTCAAGCCCGAAGTTTGGAGAGGACACACTCGAACCACAGCACGCATGCATCAGGCTTTCCTTCCTTTGTAAGTTAAGGCTGAATAATGTGAGGGGCAGATGATTCTTGGCTGTGGGTCCATCTGCTGTAGGCGTTGAGCAGTGTTCCTGGCCTCTATCTACCAGATGCTACTGTACCTCCCTCCTCCCAATTGTGACAATGAAAAAGGCCTCTAGACTTTGCCAAATGTCTTCTGGGGGCCAAAGTCTTCCCTGACCTGGGAATCCCTCTTCTGCGCACACCCATCGCTGAATGGTTGAGTCTCTCCTGCATCTATCTGTGTGTCCCCAAAGAGCAGCCACAGCAAAGAGGCAGGGGCTGAGATGGCTCAGGAATGTGTCTCCAGTGTCTGGCTGCAACCCAGATCCCAAATCCCATCAGAAAGTTACAGCCGCACACATCTCATGTCAGCACCGCTCAATAGCGTTAGGGCAGATTTTCCCATAGCCATTTTTAATATTAAAAAACAACCCTCTCTTCTCAGAGCCACGTTAAGCATATGGCAAGCCGTGCACTGGCTGTGTCGCCTCCTGCAAGCTCAGTGCCTGCCTCCTGTTTTCTTGTATCTGGGAAGACACAAATGCTGCTTAGAGTCAAACCTCAGGAGGTGTGTGAAGCGTGTAAAAGTCAAAGATAAACAGGCCTGCTTTGCCCTTGGACACATAAGCTGGATTTTCTGCAGTAATCCAGGGCCTTCACCAAAAAAGCCAAGAGCAAGAAAACCTTCCAGCACAATCCATAACAACATCCCCCCTCCCGGCCCCAAAACAGCGAGTCTGGCAGTCGAGGCAACTGACAGCCACAACTCGGGCAGAGTTTCAGCGAGTGCTCCCTCCTCCCAGACGCCGCCAGCTCGGTTTTGATCCACAAACATTCCAAGTTTCGACTCCAGCTCCATATAGCTCTGCTAATACCCATCAGCCCGCAGACAAAATCTTTTATTTCCTAGTAAGCCTGGAATAAAAAAGATGAATTCGCAGGGGATTTAGGAGGGAAACAAAGACAATGATCTTGACAGAGAATAAATTCTGTTTGCTCAAGTATGGTTCATCAGGCATTGATTAAGACTCGTAGCATTTTGGAATTGGAATCAGAAAACTTTACAGTGGGGAGGAAAGAACTCTCCCTTCCAGGGCAGAGGAGTAGCAGTCGTCCATCTTCTTTTGGAACATTCCAGAAAGGTGGCAGCTTTGCCCCAATTCTCACCCCTCCCTGTGTCCCTGCCCTCTGTCATGTGACTTGCAGCTCCTCCCACATAGGCAGAACCTGCTTCCCCGACCATGGATGTCCAGTGTGGCCTTGAGGCTAGCTTTGGCCAGCAAGACATAGGCAGAGCAAAGCAGGGGCTTGCAGACGTGCATGTGTGGGTGGGCTTGCCTTCTGTTGCCTCTGCCGTCACCAGGACAAGAAGCTGCCTCAGTGAGCCCAGCAAGCCCAGGAGGGTGGGAGACCCAGCCCAATCTGTGGTGTGAGGCAGAGCCACGCCAGCCACAGGCCCGGGAGAATGCTCAGCTAGCCCCCAAGCTTGGGACTGGTTTGGCATTCATCATTATTGTGCCAATAACTGGCCAATACAGAAACTGGCTGAGCCCTGAGGGCTGGTGCAGCCCCTGAGGTCCTGTGGGTGTTTGTTACCAGGCATTAGCTGACCCACGCATATGAGCGGTGTTCTGCATCATAGCAGCCCAGTCCCTTTGCCACATCGTGCATTGCTGGACAGTGACCAGCATTTGTCTCTTTCCCACCAGGCTTGGGTGGACCCCACCTTGGAAGCAATTCTGAATATGGGTCAGCAAGTCTAGATTCAGCTGCCCGACAGCTGTTTTGTGACAGCCCTTGGGTCCTCCAAATCAGCCTACCTCTTTGGAATGCTGGGGAGACCCCAGTTATGGAGAAAACATGGTTCTGACCCTCAGGGGAGTACAGTCGGGTCACGGAGGCAGGGTGTATATGGCAACCGAGGATTTCATAGAAGGTGAGAGAGATGGTCAAGCCAGGGCATGTCGTATACGGGAAGGCAGGGTCCCCTACAGACATCCCTGCTGCTGCCCACCTCATCCCCACTCCCTACTCCTTCCCCTGCACCTCCCCCAGGCTCCGGACCTCCTCCAGCCCACCACGCCCAACTCTGCTTTTGCCTCCAAAGCTGGCAGCTCCAGCGACCCCGCCCTCCACACCTGTCCCCTTGTTGGTTCATCACCAAAAGTGACCTGTCCTGTACAAATATTTGCACACCCATGTTCCTAGCATCTTTATTCACAACAACCAAAAGCAGGAGCCATCCAAGTGTTCATCGCTGGATGAACGGATACGCAAAACGTGGTGTCTCCGTACAATGGAATATTATTTAGCCTTGAAAAGCAATGAAACACTGACACAGGCTACCACACGGAGGAGGCTTGAGGTCATTATGCAGAGCGAAAGGACAAATGCTGAGCCGGGTGTGGCGGTGACTCGCGCCTGTAATCCCAGTACTTTCAGAGGCAGAGGCAGGCAGATCACCTTAGGTCAGGAGTTTGAGACCGGCCTGGCCAATATGGTGAAACCCTGTCTCTACTAAAAATACAAAAATTAGCCGGGTGTGGTGGTGGGCGCCTGTAATCCCAGCAACTCTGAAGGCTGAGGTGGGAGAATTACTTGAACCTGGGAGGCCCAGGTTGCAGTGAGCCTAGATTGCACCACTATACTCTAGCCTGGACAACAGAGCAAGACTCCATCTCAAAGAAAAAAAAAAATCCTGTCAACTTCCACTCACAGGAAGCCCCTAACACAGTCAGACTCGCAGAGACAGAAAGTGGAATGGAAACTGCCAGGGCTGGGGGAGGGGGATGGGGATGGAGAGTTTGTGTTTCACGGGGACAGTTTCTGTTTGAGAAGATGAAAATGCTCTGGAGAAGGGTGGTGGTGAAGGCTGCACAGTCATGTGAAACTGCTTAATGCCCTGGACCTGTGCATAAAAGTGGGTACAAGAGTACATTTTATGTTATTTGTATGTTTCCACACTTTTTTTTTTTTTTTAGACGGAGTTTCGCTTTTTTGCCCAGGCTGGAGTGCAGTGGCGTGTTCTTGGCTCACTGCAACCTCCACCTTTGGGTTTCAAGCAATTCTCTTCCCTCACCTCCCAAGTATCTGGAACTACAGGCACCTGCCACCACACCCAGCTAATTTTTGTATTTTTAGTAGAGACAGGGTTTCACCATGTTGGCCAGGCTGGTCTTGAACTCCCAACCTCGCGATCCACCCACCTTGGCCTCCCAAAGTGCTGGAATTACAGGCATGAGCTACTGCACCTGGCCCTTACCACTTTTTTTTTTTTTTAAAGCAACCTGTCCTATATCCCAACTCCTTGAGGCCCAGCTCCCCGCTGGCTGTTGGCTACCAAAGCAATCTGGGAGTCTCAGGTGTGTGTGGGGAAAGGCCGCCCTGCCTGCTGCTGCTTCTGCCGCCCCCGGTTTCAGCAAGAACCGCCAGCATCCTCATTGCTGTAACCCAAATGGAGCAATTGCTAATGGTGACCACCCAGGCGTGGGGGCAGGCCAGTCGGGAGATACTGAGGACAGCAAGAGAATCCCCCGGTGCCCCCCGCTCCACGCAGAGGCAGCAGCCCACTCTGCTTGTGGCACATCTGCATGGGGCATGCCAATCTCGCATGCTCAAGGGAAGGGAGGACTCCGGCTGGCACCCAGCTGGAAGGTGGAAATGTGAGCAGACAGGATTTATTTGGATGAAGAAAGTGGGAACAATGGGGGAAAAGTCAAATGAGCAAAGACAGTGGAAAAAGATCAGAGATGGTGGAGCCAGAAAGCAGGCAGGCTGGCTGGGAAGGCGGCTTTCCTGGCTCCACCTCGCCCCACTTCCTGTCCAAGCTTGTGAGGGAGGACAGGGAGGCCTCTGCTTTGGAGATGTCCTGGCTTTGTAGTCAGCAGGCCTAGGCTCATGTTCCAGCTCTGCTGTTCTCTGGCTGTGTGACCTTGAGCAGGTTACCCAACCTCTCTGAGCCTCAGTGTCCTCATCTACGAAATAAGAATAACAGGACGTCTTCCTGCTAGGGTTTTGTGAAGGGTCATAGAACGGAGTGCACATAAAAGGCTTTGCTGGTGTCCACGACACAGCAAATGCTTGATTCCTGTTAGTCGTTTTGCCAGGCAGCTTCTGACAGGCCCCAGTGGTCCCATTCCTGCTGCTCATGCCTTGAGCGTGGGCTGGACCTAGTGACTTGCTTCTAGGAAGAGACTGCAGCAAAGCTGATGGGATGTCATTTCCATGGCTAAGTTACGGATGGCTATGACTTCCGTCCTGCTGTCACTCTCCGCCTTGCTGGTCCTCCCTCTTTTGGCCCTCCTGATTGCGTGCTCTGACAACACAAGCTGCTGTCTTGTGCGATGCTCTATGGAGCAGCATCCGTGGCAAGGAACCCAGGGAGGCTTCAGTCCAGCAGCCTGCAAGGAACTGAAACCCACCAGCAGCCACGTGAATGAGCTTGAAAGAGGGTCCTTCCCAGAGGGGCCCTGAGATGACCATGGCCTTGGGGGGACCTGGAGCAGAGGGGCCAGCTCTGCTAGCCAGATTTCTGACCTGCCAAATCTGTGTCATAATAACCAAAGTTGTTGCAAGTCACTAAGTTTGGGAGTAATTTGTTACTGAGCCAGAAATAATGAGTACAATCATTTGGTGTTTCTAACCATGACTGGACTCCTTAATTCTCTCCCTGGGAACTGCATCCTCCTATTATCTCCTGAGCCCGCCCCGCAGCCTCCTCAGCCTCACTCTCTCCAATAATCTCACATTCTGCATCCACGCCACACACCCTCAGACTCTCACATCCTTACGCAATACAACACTCGCTCACATTATCTCTACATTGTGGGCTCATTTATTCTCTATTATTTAACCAGAAGTAGCCCCAAAAGCACTCACTGAGCTTCTCCAGCCGGCTGCAAACATCTCCTGAGAACATCAGCTCCCTTGGTTACAATTCTATATTCACCGTCAGAGCCACAGCTCAGCATCTCCCTGACTGCGAAAATGCAAGGATCAGCCCCTCTGCTCTATGTGTTGTCTTGTGTATCCGGGAATCACATGTCACACACACACAATCTCAATTCTAGACTATAGGTCGGTCTCTAGGGCAGAGACTAGGCTTATTGACCTCTAGGGTCTAACTACTAGGCTATAGTGGGCCACTGGGCCAAGTAGAGAAGAAGGAAGGCAGGCCAGGAAAGAGCCCTGGGCCTGAGTTAAAGTCCAGCTCTTACCTGGCAAGCTGGGCCACTTTGGAATACTTCCTGCCCTTCAGTGAACCTCAGTCATAGCTCCTTAAGGAGTTGGCTGTAAGAGGCTTACATGTGGTAACATACATGAGAGGCTCTTCTTTCCTGGCAGGGCTCCAGGAGGGATGACCTACTGCAGGATGGAGGCCCTGGCTGCAGATCTGGGAACCTCCCTCCTACTGGGAAGAAGCACATTGCCGTCATTCAGTCTCTTGTGAGTTGGGTTATTATGAGTCTGTTCGCCAGAGTCTGAGCTCTGAAAGGGATGAGTGACTGGATTGGTAAGGCAGAGAACTGACCCTCCTTCCAGCTGCAGAGAACTGCCAAGTCCCATTCTTCGTGACATCCTTCCTGTGTTGACACAGTGTTCTCCCCTCTCTTTAAAATAACAACCTTTACTTGACCCTGCTGCCCAGGAACTTTCCTCTAAGATTCTGCCAGGCTATGCAGAGGGCAGACGTGAATGCAGGCTATAAATCAGGAGCCCTCGTGACTCTTAGATCCATTAATCCATCAAGAGAAGATTTGCTACCTCTTAGTGTTGAGGGAGAGACCAGAAATCCTCTCACAGGATTGACTAAAGGCTCAGGCACTACATTTGATACAATTTACGACTCAGCACTTAGTGTGGTGAGCCTCAGGGGCTTATGGGACACCAGCATTCTTCTCTGTGCCTTACCACTTGCAGCTGCACCCACACTCCAAATGCAACGAAAGGAATCTGCTGCCTGCTTTGCCTGTCCTCAGATTGTATTTTGGTAAGATAATAA